TCCAACCCCGTAAGACTTTCGTTCATCTTCACAACACAAATTAAGATATTTTTGATGAAATCTGAGAGCTGGATCACTCCTCCATAGGCTTCTTAAGGGATCGAAACTGACCGGCCCAAAAGTTATTAAAGACATCGTTAAAATAGTCAGAGTGACTACAGTGGCTCAACCTTAAGTTTATCAAGCGACGAGAATACTTTTCATGCGCAAAAAACAAACAAAAATAACGACTTTATTCAACTATTCATTTCCTCCCCTGTGGGCCATGATATTTCACGTAGTGAAACTGCGCAAAGCTTCTAGGTTGTACGTCACGCATCACACACATGACCAGCGTCGGCCAATAGTGAGCCTGCGTGTGACGTACAACCCAGAAGCGCTGCGCTGTTACACTACGAGAAATCTCGAGGCCCACAGAGAAGGAAATTAATAGTTGAATAAAGTCGTTATTTTTGTTTGTTTTTTGCGCACAAAAAGTATTCTCGTCGCTTGATAAACTTAAGGTTGAGCCACTGTAGTCACTCTGACTATTTTAACGATGTCTTTAATAACTTTTCTGGGCCGGCCAGTTTCAATCCCTTAAGAAGCCTATGGAGGAGTGATCCAGCTCTCAGATTTAATCAAAAATATCTTAATTTGTGTTCTGAAGATGAACGAAAGTCTTACGGGGTTAAACAACATGAGGGAGAGTAATTACTGACAGAGTTTTCATTTTTGGGTGAACTAACCCTCTAAAGTTCAGTACACTGACTCCAATGGTTTCAATGAATTGTGCAGCAACTGCGAAGCTACACATAATAATGGCGGAAACAATGAGGCCGAAACCAGATCCTTAAATGTGGAGAATGCTGTAGTTTAGCTAATATGCAGAAAATGTTCCTCTCCACCCACAGAAGACGCTCTTATCATTGTAAAGCCAACAGCACTGAACACTGGTGATTAGCAGACCTCGGGATCTGCGCCAGAAACACGTGATTTCATCTCAAACTTCACTCTGAAGAACCACAACCACATTCTTCGCCACTTGTCAAACTTTATCATGACAGGAGTTCAGGTGCGACAGGTTAGTGTTCACACTGCTGCCATGTGCTTACACACGTGCGCCATCAATAATTAACAGTCAAAGAGACACTCAGCATTAACTAACACACACTTCACTCCTCCTCAGAGCCCGAACTGAAACAGCTTCACACTCAAACACTCAAAGAAATCGACAAATATTTGGACTCCTTACTAAATAATGTGACTCATCTGAAATTTGGCCATGATTCGATTGAATTCAATTCTGTTATTTTGGTGCGATTCATATTTATTTTTAAAATAACACTCGCTCGCCAGTTGGCCGGTAATATTTTTATCCTAACAATGGATGTTCGTGAATAAACGTGAACTACGCACGGGACAGTTGATGGGCCAGAGCTTCATCGCCACGACAATTTAAATATTTAATCGCAAGAAAACGCGAAAGAGAGCTCATTTGGTTACTCGCGCACAGAAAGCTGCGTCTCAGACAGCGCACAAATACTAAACTGAGCTCTCTTTCACATCTTGTACTTGAGCGGACAAATTCACACAAAATGATGTCTAAAAATAGTGCATATTAGGGGTGGAACGGTACATGTATTCGTATTGAACCGAAACGGTACGGGCGTCACGGTTCGGTGCACGAATTTACACGGAGAATACACGGTATAAAAATAAATAAAACTCGCGTGCAAATTAATTAATGTAATGCGGAACTACTGTTAGATACCCGGGTTCTTTAGGGACACATAATCTGTAGCATCGGCTTAGCTCTGAACGCGCGTTCACTTCAAACGTTAGACGCGCGTCCTATTCGCTCTGGACTAGCGTCGAAGACGCGATAGACGCTCTATTCGCGTTTGGTGTGACCGCATAATGAACAGGCTGCGATGTCAAGATTGCAATGCTGGAGTGTGTGTGCGCGCGAGACAGAGAGAGAGAGAGAGAGAGAGAGAGAGAGAGAGAGAGGCGCGGGCGCGATCGAACAGTGGAAACATAAAAAACATACTCCGTCATTTTGTTCAGATCATTAAACCTGCAAAGTGTTTACTTATATTTGTGTACACTCGCAATAAAACACAAGATTGTGCTTTTGTCACACTGTAAACTCTTGTCAAACTGTAACCTACTTCTGTCACCCAACCAAAATCTCACACACACACACACACACACACACACACACAGTTTTAAAAGCAAAACATATTTATCCAACTCCATTTCAAAACAGTCTGTGGGTCCCATCTTTTGGACATTCGTCATATTGCATTGGTTTTCATTTCTTGTCCTCGGAGCGCTAATCTTACACATTCTACATTGATTAAAAAAGAAAATCGAATGTTTTTAATGGTAGTATTATTTTATATAGTATATATTTTATTTATAATTCAGATAAGAATAATGTTACATTGTTAATTAATAATGTTAATTAAAATTAAGGAAAACAAATATATTGATCTGAAATATAGCAAATTAGTTTTAAATTAATTCAGGTACAATTCCCAAACATATCGCAAGGTCTTTTTGTCTTTTTATTAATTTAATTAATAAACTAATTATATAAAACTATTGTCAGTGCACTACAAACAAACTGGTTCTATGCCTTTAATAATAAAACTTATTTAAAAAATACAATGCCTTCTGCATTTTTGTTTTGCTTTTCCCTCCACTGTACCGAAATCGTACCGAACCGTGATGTCTGAACCGAGGAATGAACCGAACCGTGACTTCTGTGTACCGTTCCACCCCTAGTGCACATTCAAGTAAACATAGTCAGTTATGTCTTGAACATCAACAGTGGAGAAAGTAAACGCATGTGTGTCAGTATCAGTACATTAGATCTGTGCAGTCGGTCTTAAAGTGACAGTAGCCTAATACCCCTGCTGCTGTCTGTGGTTTTAATGTTAATCAAACACCCAATGACAAAGAAAAATCACTCTGCTCTTTACTGAATAGCTTTTGTACATATAATAAGGATGTTTCATTTATAACAGTGAAGACTATGCAGTGTTATTTACATTTGCCTATTTTATAAAAAAAAGTACTGGAAACTACTGTCAGATCTTCCTGAAAAATCTAAAAAATACTGTTTATTTCATTTGTATATTTGTTAAATTGTATTTATTTGTGATTTTGCTTCTAATTTGATTATTTGTTCTTATTTTATTACTGACTAGTTTTAAATGTAGCCTATATTAGTTAGCAAATATTAGTTATTATAAATGTTGGTGTCATTACTGTTTTTGCAAAAACAGTTTCATGGCCAGTAAGAAATATTGATGGCGTCACCAGCCATTGGCAGTGTGGCTAAAGTTAGTTTTAGGCCCGGAGTGTAAGTGTATAAACACAATCCCCTGTACGTGTTCACAGGAAGTTCTTTCATAGAGACGCGTGTTTTAACATGTCCAGGCAAAAAAAATCAACAGTACGAACGAAGGTGTGGGAGTTTGATCAGTCTCTGATTTGAGATTTCATGATCATGATTAATTGTTACTAAACAAAGACCAATATAAGCAAAGCAACAGTCAGAGAAACTTTCGGGCTACTACACTTAAAGTGATACTCGCATTCAAACCTGTATGAGTTTCTTTCTTCTGTTGAACACAAAAGAAGGTGTTTTATGTTTGTTTACCAACATTCTTCAAAATATCTTCTTTTGTGTTCAACAGAAGAAAGAAACTCATACAGGTTTGGAACAACATGAGTAAATGATGACCACATTTTCATTTTTGGGTGAACTATATTGTTATTTTAAAAATTGCAACAAGTTCTCGAGTCTCTAAAGAACAGCACATTAGACAATACTACACTTTTTTTTAATTCATTACACAATTACTCATTACACCGTTACATTTTACCCTGCTGCAGATGAGTCTGAGGTCCTAGAAAAAATTGCAAATGTACGCAAAACCTTCATGAATTATGAGAATCGCCCCATTACAGTATTACTGGATCGCTCCACTGTGAAAGCTGTCTTTACTAAGATTTTATTTAAACCCATTCAACCCGGTCTTTAAGGGTAAGAGGGTTACAGTGACCCTGTGTTGGGGACAAAAGGCAAATTCAGCGTTTCCTACACGAGGGTTCCTCTCCGCCTATCGAAACTGCAGCACATTCCAGCATCTTCCTACACAGTGACTCCGAGTGGCCCCTGAGGGCCCCGGGCCGAACACATGTGACCTGTCAGGGCGTCTTTGTGGCTGAAGAGTGAGTGCCATTAACCGGAATCCAACTGAGTTAGCCCATCTAATATATCTCATCAGTTAGTCAGGATGATTTTACTGAGGGTAGTAACACCATAAAGGGACGCATCACTTCATGTCACATATCACAACACATGTCAGTACATGAAATATTGAGTTGCATTCAAAACCATCTAGTCAAGTGTGCACAAGTCTCTTGATTGTCCCATACGGGCTCTTTTCACAATTTAAACAAACACAATGTTGGTAAAAGTAAAGAAAGTGGCTCAAATACATAAATAACACAATTAAATACATAATTCAAGGGTTCTATGACAGAAAAAAACGTGGATATATTTTTATTTTTTTTGTATATGTGAACAACATGTTTTAGACTAAAAAGTGCCACAATAGGTGTCAATAAGAAGGCAAAATGTTTATATGTTTTTCGAAATGAATTCTAACTGTCATTAGCACAACAGGTTGCCAATTACGAGAACTTTCAAAAGCCTACTATGCTGAAGGCTTAGCTTATGAATATTAATTAGAAAAAATGACGTTCGCTAAGCAGGCCTAACTGATTGGCTGAAAGACAGCTACTGGTCAGCGGGTCCCCTAGTTAGCTGGCCAATCAGCGAATCTGATAAGGCCAGGCTTATTAATATTAATCATTGTAATTAGTAAACGAAGCGACGTCAACAACATGACTACGGTAATATTCATGAACTAGTCCTTCACCATGGTAGAAGTCGTAGTTTCGTTTCGATGCCTCACAGGTTTATTAATATCCGAACTCACCTTATAAACTTTACCGAAAGCACCGTCGCCCAGTTCCCCGATAATTTCCCACATGTCGTTTGGATTTACATCCCGATGAACGTGCTCATATTGCTTGGTTTTCTTCTTGATATCAAGTGCAGGAAACCGGATCATCTTGCTGAATTTGGCAAAAGCCATTTTTTAAAAATATACAGGTAGAAGCCTAAAATGCTAAATAAATAAAAAACTGATTATGTAGATGATGAATTAGTTGACTTCAGAAAAAACAAAAGCGTCTGGGCTGAAAACTATCCGACACTCCACGGGAAATATAGACATCTTCGTCACTTAAAAAAAAATAAAAAAATAACTTTAAGTTGTAATAGACTTATTCCACTCCATCCATGAGAAAACATGCGCCGTCTGAGGCGAGTGAAACACTCATGTTCACCTGTTCACTCACTGCTGTCGTTTGTGTGTGTGTGTGTGTGAGAGTGAGACCGAGCCACGCCCACTGCACAGAACTGTGGGAATTGTAGTTTTTAAAGTTCACCATAAAGTAGCCTAAACAACACTACAGACTTGTTTTGTATTTACAATGCTGCCTTGTTATATCTTATATGTCTCACTATGTCCTGTTCTAGAAGCTAAACAAGAAAATAAAAATATAAAGTAGCCTAGCCTATATGAGCAACAAGCATTTGTAACAAACCATTTTAATGTGTGTTTTTTTTTATGATTTTAAGTAATCGTAATATTTGTATTGAATATTTTTATTGTAATACTCTAGTCAAGACGCACAGGAAAAAAAACTTCTGGTAAAATATGAAAAAGCCCGAGTTAAAAACAAAACTGCTGCACACAATCTCCACCTTGTGGTGAATTTGTGGTACATTTATTTTATTTTATTTTTTTAGAATACAAAACACGTCATGATGATATATCAAAATACACTGTACACAACACTTTATATTGAATATAGTGAATATAAAACAATATTTAAAGCAATAAACATTTTAAAAGTTATAAATAAAGATTTTCGTCACATTACAGCACTGCAGTTGTATACATACATGACGTGACGATTTTTTTATTTTTTTTTTAGATATGTTTAGTGGTTTGAAAATACATAAAAAATGGCATTCTTGAAAACATTCTATGTATGTTATGTCATGAGTAGTTCACAGTAAAACATTTTGCGGGTCTTAAAATAAATTCAAGGGAAACAACTTTAGCATAAGCAATTTTGTAATTTTATTCCTATAAAAGAACTGAATGTTTATTTTCGTAATAATATTTGAAAAAGATTTTGTCCGTCAAATCAAAGTCTGTGTCATGTAACCAATCTGCAAGATGCTATATTATTACCATGTGATAAAAACATTAAAACATTGAAAACATTTTTCAGTTTTTTGAAAAACCTGAAATCATGATGATGTGAACGTTTAGATGTAAGAAAAATGGTACCTTTTAATTGTTTAAAAACTTTTCAATGAAAAAAAAAATGTTGAAAGTGTATAAATGATTTTTTTTTTTTTTTTTTGATTTTTTTTTTTAACTACTGATTATGAATAACATCTGTTATCATGCTGAGTCATGGGCTCTTCATGATCTTGGTCCAATCCTCCTCCAGTGATGTATGAGATGCTCAGCCTCTCCGTCCTCTGGACTGCAATGCTTCACAGTTATCATGGGTAAAAACCAAGTCCTAAAACAGATCAACTACTTTTCAGGCACTCAGTTATAGCAAGGGCACACAGTATATATATTTAAAAAAAAGAATATAAAATGAATTAATTAAAAACTGGTTAGGGACAGGTTTGGTGGTATGGGTTTAAGGGTGAGTTAAGGTTTAGATAGATATATTGGAAATTAATTACAGCTGTAACTACATGCATGTAAACATAGTACAATGTAAAACCACGCATGTACACAATAAGTAAAACGTATCAAATGATTCATTTAAATGTCAGTGGTGGTTAAAGACACCTAAAGAGGGACTCTGATAAAATATATATATCTGAAATAAATGCTTGACTTACCCCGTGACATTTTTGTGATATAATGATATAGAGTTGTCTAATCATGGCAGCGAGTGTTTGCACTTTCCTGTTGTAGGAACACCGGCGTTCTCTCAGGCCGCCCAGCAGAGACACATAAGAGTTCATAGTGGACATTACACAAGCGTTCTGTCGTCACAAACAACATATATGATTGACCATACAAGGCTTTTAACATATTTCAAAGCACACATATAATGGGAGTGATCAAAAAAAAAAAAAGTATTATTATTATTACTGAGGTGGAATCTGATCCAGACATGAGATTCTGAATGTGCTTATTAGTATGTCATTATTTTACATTACAAGCAAGCTTTATCTCTTAAATGTTGAATTCTGCAATAGTCTGTCAGTACTTACATGAACATCGATGTACAGGTCGGGCAGGTGAGCTGCGCATCTATACTGCAACACAAGGCACAATAAAAACATCAACTTTGGTTTTGTCATGGCATTGTTTTACTCACCTCAAGTGGATGTGTTAGACTTACTGTGTCGTAGTCATTTTTAATGTCCGCCGCTCTTTGAGTGATTTCTGTGCCCATGTTCAGCACTTTAGTGTAACAGGTTGGTGGTATGGGGTACGGCTGAGCCCAAACCATGGGCATCAGAACCAGAACCAGAACCAGAACCATGCTTTCTGCTCTCTGTGAACGACACTGCTGCATGTGCTGCATTTATACACTGCAAACTCAAACATGTTGTGTTTATTACCAAACATGACATGATGAATCATTTAGCATGGAATTCACATCATTGTCTTATCCAGTTCTGAAACACTGGTGCTTGTGGTTTTGCTCAGCCAAGTGTTGTCAGAATATCCCACAATATATGCAGGAGATATCTAAATACCCAATGACAATTGTAAACAACGTAATAAACTTGAATCATGGCAATATTTAGCACCACAAAAATGTTTTGCACAAATTACAACCAACAATTTTGCTCCAATAAAGATAGTGTGCTTGTTTACCAAGAGGACAGCAGTGCAAATACTTAAGTATTGTATATGTTTTATTGCATAAAAAGTTATTTCCACCGTTCTTCTGAAAGAGTAGGCTACTGAATCTCCTGATCAAAACACATGCGAAGAAGAAGCAGAAACAAGTGCTGAATCCAAGATCACAGCTATAAATGGGGCGCTATTTGAGGGGACATTTGTGTCCGAATGAGCATATAATATAAGCTAACTGTAACCGAATAAGCTCTATAAAATAACCTAGATCCTGGGTCAGAGGTATCCTATCCCAGGCCAGGGGTTGAGTTATTTTTCACATGCTTTTTGCGACCTCTTCAGGAGAGAGCAGTAGGTGCAGCTGAGCTACCTGTCTTCGGTAAAATACAGGTTTGTGTACATTTTATTTTAATCTATAAATTCGTTATTGTTCTGTTGCCTATATCGTTTAATTTTATGCACAGCAACATAGCCTACAGGGGCTCGATGCTATCGCCTAACGAGTGTTGCCGCGTCGGTCTTTTCAAGTGATGGAAACCTTTTTATGATAGGCCTGCCGCCTACCTTGCATTAAATTGTATGATTTTTTTATATATATACAGAATAGAAATGTACACTGATTGTTTATGGACAGGTTATGGAGTCAGTCACAGCATATTTCGGCTACGAGTGAAACGAGTGCTTACGGTCTGAAGTTAGAAGTTCCCCCGCTGAACATCATACGAGCTCCGGCACGAGATCCAGCGCCGTTACGGTGAAAACGAGACAACAGAGACTGGTCGATTACACTTGAATTACTTCTAAATGTTTAATTTTTACTTCTAGTATTTGTTAAATGAGCTTAAATGTATGCAATATGTACCCTACTGTAAAATATGATCGAAAATAAGAGAACTATCATGCAAACCAGTGGTTTTGCAGTAGTTTTTAAAAACAAAGTTTAGAGAATTTAAATTAATCCGTAAACATTAATTCTTGTATAAATTAAACACTTTTTTTAAAGCTAGTATAAAATCAACCCAGTAGGCCTATGTTGGGTTAAATAAACAACCCAACATGTGTTCTGTCCTATCGGATTTACCCATCCCTTGGGTTGTTTTTAACCCAGTGTTTTTTAGAGTGTATTGTGGACATTATTGAGTGCACTCATTCAATCCCACATTGCACCACAATAACGAGTGTAGCCTACAACCGATGTACACTCAAGCGTCTGTCCAAATTCCTTCGAGTGAACAGTATTAGTGGACTATAGGGAATAGTGAATGAGGGTTTAGGGGGCGATTTCAGATTCAGTTATACTGTATGTAAGCAGATGCATATGTAAAATTAGCAATCATCAATCATTCAACAGCATATATCAAAACAACCTAATGTTACTGAATGAAATGTTGACCCTGAGCTATAGGACTGTGAAGCTTTGGAAGTGTTGATGGCAACCCTATGTAATTCAACCCCAAATGTAGGCTAATTCAAACCAAACCAATTGTAGATGTCTGCATGAAGAAAATGTATTCAATTAGACCCTTCATTAGTTGTGAGAGTAAGCATGGAATTTATAGGCTTTAATGTCCTTGTAATTATTTCTACATGGGCCAGACTAAGTGTAGACTGCAAGATAGATTATGGGATCACAAAAATGCTATTAATACTGTACAAGAAACAAAGATTAGGCCTACCCTATGGCAGTATACATTATCCATCCGTACATGATTCTAATCCATCTACTTGAAAAAGTATTGGTTTGGAAACTGTTACTGGGTATATTATAAGGGTGATAGATTACAAAGACATTTACAAAGGGAAGCCTTTGGAATTTTTGGTTAAAACCCATTTGTCCTGGGTTGAATGAAGAATTAGATTTAAGGGGTAAACTCCATTCTTGTAAAGCTATTATTATTATTATCATTATAATAGTTTTCTCTCTTCTTGCTTTTTTGTTTGGTGTGCGTGATTATACTTTGTAATAGTTAATGTTATAGGTCCCCCTGTAATGGTTCTTTTGGTTTCTCGTAGTTCTACATCTACACCTGTGACTCATGTGTTACCTGAGGAAGACTGGAGACCGAAATGCGTCAGTGCGCTGTGTTTTAGCCATCTTTAATGTTTCTAGTGTGGCAGGCAGCCATGGTGTAAATAACGGCCTTTTTAAATTACTTTTTTGGACTGGAAGATTTTTTTTTTTTCTAAAAGTATTCTCATTATATTCATTTCATTTGTCCTGTATTACTTCCTACATAGTTATGGACCATTATTCTGAAGTGTTACCAAGAAGTCTTTAAATAAGCTTCAGTCACTCATCATTAAAGAGAGTTTATCACAATTATCCTCTAGCAGAGGTTAGAGAATGCCTATTAAGGTCTCGTATTGTTTAATAGTCATTGCAAACAGCAAATACTTCCTTGTGAAAAAGAAAGTGCACTTTACTCATTTTTAAAAAGAGTAGGCCACTTATTACAGAAATAATTTCAGTTAAAATAATATATTTGAGTGGGTAACACTGGTGTCCGAGTTACAGTGTAACTATACATTTAAGTACTGACTGAGTAATATTAATTACTATAGGATTAGATTTTGGTTTAAGGTTAGTTGCATGTAATTTATAGTTATTACTACAGTAACTACATATAACGTTTAACAAGGACACTGTAAAACAGTGTTACTTTTAAGTGCGAACTGAATGTATATTTGTAATTACACATTTGTAATGATGAAGTTACAATTGAATACATTTAAAATATATTAACTTTAAATGAGGGCTATCAAATAACACAATACAGTTAAAAGTAGCATCAGGTATGTGGCAACCTTCCAGTCTCTCTCTTGAATCCACCACAGAAGTGCCTTAAACTGCAATTCATCGACTGGCCACTAGAGGCAGGCTGCAGAAGAGAGTCAATCCCATAGACCCCCATGTTAAAATGGCCAACTTTACAGCAGAAAAAAAATATGTTTACAGCCTGTTACAAAAAGTGGTTTTGGTGTATATAGCTCATTTTGCCCTTCATGACGACTGTGAGGGGGGTGAATTTTTTTATAACTCACCTGTTTAAATCATATTAAGCCATAGAGTTCTGCATAATTAAGGGCGTGGCCACTTAATTGACAGATGGATTGCCGCTGATGTCACTACTAGCCGTTTATCTGCTGTCTGTTAGCGTCACGTCACCTCAGCTAATTCCAGCCGCTGAACTTGGCATCTCTGCCATGTTTGTGGTTTTTTCGGGATTATTTCATACAATTGAATACACTCATTATACCTTTCTCCACGCCTTTGGATTCCGTCGTTGTCGAGTATCAAGAGAACAACCAGCGCTGTTTTTCAGTTGTTTTCCTCTGTGAACATGCACTCATGGATGTCTGACAATTTCATTGCTTTTTGGAGTTTTCAGATTTAAAAACGTCTATAGATATAGAGTCTACACTCGTTCTGCGGTACCAACAGCTCCGGGACGCTTGGCGCAAGTGGCTGATGGCCGAGGAATGCGACGTCGAGGAAGTGGTCGATCTGGTAGTGCTGGAGCAGGTCATCGCTCGGCTACCACGTGGAACGGCCGAGTGGGTCCAGTGCTACCACCCGACGTTGCCTCCTTAACCTCTCTCTCTCTCCAACCCCTCTACTTTTCTTCCTGCTTTCTCTCGCCCTATTCCTGCTCCCGGGTCGTGTATCAACGCGGCCCCTTGAACCCCACAGCGGGGAAGTTTCTTCCAGGGGAACAGATATGGGACACGAGGGGGCGTGGCAGAGAGCACTGGAGCCACCGCTCCATCTCCACCTTTCTGCTCTCTTCGCCAATCTCTTGGCCATTCTTCTACTTGCTGGGGCGGCGGGAAGGCCTTGGAGATGTGGGGACCCGTGACTCCCCGTGCGCTGCCCCCGATCAAGCTGGGCAGTACCAAATACCTGTGAATATTAAGGGGGGTACATATCAGGCTTTGGTGGATTCAGGCTGTAACCAAACCTCCATTCATCAAAGCCTGATGCAGCAAAGGGCGTTGGACACGAACCGCAAGGCTAAGGTGAGGTGTGTGCACGGGGATGTGGTGGACTTCCGATTAGTACCTGTTAGTATTTCGGGGAAAACCACATAGAATTAAGGTGCCGGTTAATTCCCACCTTAGGCATCCACTATAACCGGGTCCGCACTATCTACGGACAACTTCTTCAGCCTGATCAGCTGCTCTCATATGCCTATTTTTCACTTATAAAAGATAGGTTGTATCGGGTGACCCAAGATACCCAGACAAAAGTAAAGACAACCCAATTATTAGTCCCAAAAAGCCGTCGGGAAATGCTTTTCCAGGCTGCTCATTGTAGTCCCATGGCATGCCACTTGGGGTCGGTGGTGTAGATTTGAAAATCCTGCTTTCCCCATTATTGTTGAATCACGGAAGCTACACCAGATATTTTGCCAAGAGATCTCTTATTTATTATGTATCATGTATCAGACATAGGAGAGAAACAGGCGAGAGAAACAGGCATTTAATAATAAGGCTATATGAGAGCAGGTCTTCATTCCAAATTTCTCTATTCCCCATTACTCTATCCTCTCACCCCGTCATGCCTTTATTTCTCCTTCCTCACCCCGTCATGCCTTTATGTTTCTCTGAGGTGGTACAGTAAGGATTGAGCTTGAATACACTACTGAGCGACCTTCAACTTTTTTAGTTTTCAGCATCATAAAGTAGAATAATTCACTAATCTTTTCACTGACGAAAAGGGTCACAGTCACCACCTAATGATCATTGTCACTGTCATCGTGTCTGTCACTGTCATCATCACTGTCATGTGTTAGTCCCCGTCTGCACTACAGTCCCAGCATCCTCCTTGGCCCACACCTGCACCTCCTTAACCATTACCCGCACCTGCCAGCAATCATCATCATCACTCACCGTCTTTAGCTGTTGTCTTCATTGTTCACCTTTGTATTTAGTTCCTTTCTGTTCAGTCAGTCTCTGTCTGTGCTACTTAGTATCAAGTGTTTGTGAACCTTCTGCTCCCCTGTACCTGTGTTAGTTGTATTAGTAAGTAAACACTTTGCTATTGGAACTTCTGACTCCTCTGCTCCTTCTGCCTGCACCACAACCTGACAGAAGAACGGACCTTAACATAAAGCATGGGCGTTGACCGCTTCCTTCTAACCCCAGCCGATCGGCTGATAACCTGTTTCCAGGATGGCTGTGGGTGAGGCTAAAGATGATGTCTCCACTCAACCACCATCACCGCCTGATCTTCACATCCTGTCTGATCTTCACGTCCTGCCTGACCAGCCTGATCTTCACTTCATGTCTCGTCCTGCCGAGACCACCCGTCCTGAGTCTCATCCTGCTGAGACCACCCGTCCAGAATCTCTTCCCGTCGAGATCGTCCCTCATGAATCCTCTGTTCCTGTCCTCGTCCAATGTCTGGAGGAAATGAACTTAATAGACTTTGACACTCAGCCTGAGATTCTTCCCTTCATGTCTACCGAGCCTGAGATTCTTCCCTTCATGTCTGCCGAGCCTGAGTGGCTTCACGTCATGTCTGCCGAGCCTGAGTGGCTTCACGTCATGTCTGCCAAGCCTGTGTGGCTTCACTTCATGTCTGCCGAGCCTGAGTGGCTTCACTTCATGTCTGCCGAGCCTGAGTGGCTTCACTTCATGTCTGCTAAGCCTGAGTGGCTTCACTTCATGTCTGCCAAGCCTGAGTGGCTTCACTTCATGTCTGCCAAGCCTGAGTGGCTTCACTTTATGTCTACCGAGCCTGAGCTTCTTCACATCAGTCCTACCAAGCCTGCACTTCACGTCAGTCCTGCCGAGCCTGCACTTCACGTCAGTCCTGCCGAGCCTGCACCTGTTCAGAGACTGTTCACGCCTGGTCAGCCTCCACTGAACCCTCACCTCCGGCCAAGATGGCCGCCTCACTACCTGAACCCTCAAAGCCTGTCCCTGAGCCTGTGCCCATAGCTAAGGCCAAGACATTTTTTTGGGGGGGGGGCTATACATCCTCTGCCATAGTAGCCAGACCATCTCCGCCATGGCTGCCCGAAGGTCCATCTTCGTCCTGCCCATCAGCACAACCAGCTCAGTCCTGGCCATCGGCACTACCTGATTCGCCCTGGTCTCCCGAACTACCGGTACCGTCCTGGAGTCATAGGTCCCTGGTGACCCTCTGGTCTCGTATCTCTCATGGAGGAGCGGAGGCATAAAGGAGTGACGACAGTGAAGAGCGAGAGAGGAACAGGCCTGATTTTATGTGATGTTTCTGTTTTGTGTGGCCAGCAGTCATCTGTGAGGGGCTGCTGGCTTATACTTTCATTTTGTTGTCTTTGAATGTTCACCGATTGCCACCCCCTTCCCATAACATCTGAACCTCGTTACACATGTGTTTTGGTAAACACTGTTACAAAGATCATAAACTCACATAAAAAGTCAAGAGTCAAACTACCCAACTAAACTAAACACTCCTCACAATAATGGTAACCAATCATAATTAAACCAATTATAACTTTAACTCTGATTCAGAGTCGGGGTTGTTTACATGACACCGTTTTCAACTAAAAACATAAAACTTTTTAGTTTTGAAAATAGGTTTCAAAGTGTACGTTTTTGAAAACGGTCTCCGTGTAAACAACAAAAACACGAACCTCTGAAGACGATGACATCAGGCGCATGCGTATTATGTTTTCAGTCTATAGTGTTTTATTGCCATCTACTGGCCTGGCAGCAGAATACAAAGTTTTTAGTCATTTTCGCATATCCGTGTGAATGTGGATCGTTTTGACAATGGTGTCGTCTGTACGCGGAAAACTCAAAGGAAAATCTTCTCCGTTTTAAGCATATTGTTGTCGTGTAAACGTACCCTTACTTTAACACTCTTTAGAGTGGGACCATATGTACTCTGTCTCTGAGCAGAGTTAATTTAAAGCTGCCGTCGGCAAAATTTTTTTGATCATATTCAGTGAAATCGACACTATAATCCGACAGAACAACATAAATAAAGTGGTTTTAGAAAACAACTCCACCTGGAGAGTGTTATTTGTTTTGCAAAAATCCACAGCTCCCGGATCATCGGGTCCAATCAGCGCAGGGGGGTGTGAGATCTGACTGTCAATCACAGATCGGGCACACGCCACCCCTCACGCACGTTACAATCACAGGCACACGCCGGAAGTTCGGGCAGTAACGAAGAGTGATGGCGCAAAATCAAGTAAGCTCATTTAGAGTATAAATGACGTTAGCAATTGCAATCTATCGGTAGATTAGCCAGGACAGCATACCTCCAAATAATCCATGGTGTTGATGGATGCTGATGAGACGGGCGCGTTCACTGAAAATCTGGTGCACACGCACTGACGAGCATGAACTCGGTGGGAGGGTATTCGTTGATAGTGGGGGAGGGCCATGAGAGTTGTAAACATTCAAAATTTTGCCTAAGTCCACTCAATCTGCCAGACTTGCCGACTGCAGCTTTAACACTGGGGATTTTGCTGTGTGCACTTCTTTTTCACAAGGGTTTTGCAACAAAACTGTTTCCCTAGTACAAAGTTGACTACAGCACTTACAGTACATGCAGAGAGGCACAGAGGGCTAGTGCGTTGTAATGGGGAACACGGAAAGCTTATTAAGTAAACAAATGAACTCTATAAATGTCACATACCTGCGGTGACTGATCACATACAGTCTGTGCAAGTGAATACAGGCTTCTGAGAATAAGAGCCAATGATGTCCTCGACAGACAAGAATCTGCAAACTAGAAAATAAATGCTCAATGTTCACAAAACCTTGCCTGAAAGTGTTTTCTCAAAATCACTAAAGTTTGAAGGTTACAAAGCAATATGTGCTTTGAATACATTTAAGATCTAGGCTACGATACGTATAGCTAATTGAAAAGCCAAATCTGATGACTTTAAATCTCCAGAGAAACACATTTTAATTGTAAATTAGTGCAGTATGTGTGTGTAAATAACTATGCAACTAGATGTAAATGAAAACCTAATTCAGTCCTGCACCACTAGATGGAAGCACAAGTTCTACAGCTGATCATTGCTTGTCATTCCATCGCTGTTTGACCTTCCCTGCTGAGAACTGTAGTCTTCTTCTCCTGAATAAACAACGCTTCTATCATCTAGCAAAGACACAAGCTCATCAGTTTAAGTCAGTGAAAAGAAGCATGCTTGTGCGATAAAACGTGTTGTGTAAGTCTATTCAGGAAAGGTGACTAGTGTATTTGTAAATGCCAGTTAAGCTATAAAAGAGCTGTGTGTGCATGAGGCATCTAATCTTGTAAAGTACTCCGGTGTGCCAGGAGCGTAATGGTGATTTGGCTGGATTTTGAGAGATCCTATTGCTCTCTTACCGCCTAAAAAGAATTTCACTTTCAAGACAGACGACAGACCCAGAGCAAATTTATTAGCCTCACATGCCTGTGTAAAAAAGCAAGCTAAGCAAATGTCTAAATTCACATGACCTTGGCCCTTGACATGCACAATAAAGATCTGTAATGGTTTATGTTTTGATGTGGATACATTATTCTACTCTATTCTATTCCATAATTATGATGCAATTATTATTTTCTACAATAAAAAACTTTTGGTTGACTGTAAACTAGTGCTGTCAAATAAATTAATCATGATTAATCGCATCTAACATACAGTAAAAATTTGCATAGATATATATATATATGTATATATATAATTTTTTTTACAAACTTTTATGTTATGCGAATAATCGCGATTAATCAATTTGACAGCACTAAGTACTACAAACCTTCTAAAATTTACTTTAAAACACAAAAGTTCTTAAAAATACTATTTTGTTTAAATGCTGGTGGGTTTTTTACAGGTTTTTTATTATTTATTTATTTTTTACAGTTTTTACAATTATGGCAATTATCACTCAGTTTTAATTTGAGGAATGTGTCAAGTGGTGTAACCATCAAGTAAAACATACTAAAATATTTTTACTTTGTGATTATCTTTATATATTTATTTTTAAATGTCTTTAAACCTACTTTTAATAAATAAACAAAAAATATATATAAAAAAATAAATAAAATGTATCATGTATGTTTGAATCATGAATAGTGATTACATTACGACCTAACCTTGCCATAAAAGGTCAAATAAATGGATCATTTTAAGAAACTTGCTGACCTTGACATTAGGGTCTACCAATAATTGTCTTGTCACATGACAACAAAATGGCTTTCTGTTAGCCTACACCACACTGATTTAGATTTGACTGGCTACTCTTTCAAATATTATTTTAAACTTTTCTTTCGAATAATATTTTATTTTTTAAATGATTTTAAGAAATACAATCAATTATAAAGTCACTGTATAAAATGTATTTTAAAAACGAATTCTTGAATAAATTAAAAGGTTATGGGGAGAACAGCAGCGCAGTAACATTGCGTATATACAGTAGCCTACTTGAACCACATCATGCATGAATAAATGAACCTTCCCGACACCACCATCATCATCATCATCATCATCACATGCGATGCCCATCAGATGTTTCCACAGACGCATAGTGATGAGTTGATCAACAGTTGAGGACGTGAGCTCAGCTGTGCAGCTCTCAGCAGTCAGTCACACGCACACACACACACACACACACGGTGATCTGGATCAGATCAGATGTCCTCTGCTCGGAGACTGGGACTGTGTGTTGTGATGCAGGCATGAGTCTCTCCGGACTCTCGAGCGCATATGGGAGGTAAAGCAGCATGTTCGTGTGTTCTGCATCAGTGTGTCATTGACTCCGGCTCTGCAAGGATCTTATCACGGCATTGCGGTGAGTGGAGAAGTTGTGTGGGATAGTCTGTGTGTCCAGCACTCATCTGTACACTGCAGTCTCGCCTGTGACCAGTGTGACTGCTGGCATCGCTGTGAGGATCAACTCGACCATCCGACCATATTAAACGGTAAGTTTATGATTACTGATGATTTATATACAACAGAGTTCAGCTACAGGTCAATACAGTACGTGATCTTACATCGTGTTTACTAGCAGTTTTCTAACTCATCTATTTCTGCCACTCTATTCAGACTTTACATACTGTTTATGTTACTGTGTAAGTAAAGAGTACTTACCAGTGAACAACATGTAAGCTGCTATGTAATTATTGGCAAAGTAAAGTACTTTTAATAGGGTCTAGTTGTCTCGTCTTTTATCCAGTTAATATATAGGTTTGGTGTATTTAGTTTAGAAAATATTGAAAATTTCACATTATTGTCATGGGAATTGATTTATAGTGATCTAATACCTTTTTTTAAAAAATATGAAGAACATCATATTACACAAAATATTTTTTATTTAAAATGTATTATTGGCTTTTTAAGGGCGTTTAAGTAATTCATGAAACAGCATGTTAAAAATAACATTAAATATCATGTTTTGGCTAGCATAAATATCATGTTTTGGCTAGCAGAAATGAATGAATAGCAATTATAAAAAGATCTTTCAAATAAAATCTACTTTCATTTTATTTTATTGGTGAAATATAGCCCTTATGACAACCTGTGATCAGGGTTTGCCTAACTTTTTTTGTCAGATGAACCTGGTCAGTTTTGTCAGTTTAACACAATATATTTAGGCTACCCCTGAGATTTTTAATTAGCCTAATAAGTTAGGTCAATAACACAATGAAGTCAATAAGAGTAATAATAAAATGAAGTTTACGTTTCTCTGATGTCGGCTAATGGTCACATGACATGTAGGTTTTTATCTTTTTAGTAAGTGTTTAATTTTAATTTTAAAATGATTTATCTTAATTTTAAATGACTTAATTACTTAATAGCTTTTCATTAAACTCACTAACCCCCTAGAGTTCCTTCACGAACCCCAGTCTAGGAAACCCTGCCCTACTGTACATTACATTAATGCACTTCATGTTGTTGATTACAAAGAATGGATTATATTTCCTTTCTCTTTGTATTTTTATATCAATATGGTACAAGATGATCCTATTTAAATCAATGTGATGAACGATTAGGTTAAAACTAATCTAAAAGCAGTCCTATTATATTACCTCAAATGTGTAATGTAATGGATTACATTACTATCTACAAATTTTTGTTTAATGTAATTTGGAATCAGTAACTGACTACAATGTGTAATCTACCCAGTACTGAATGTATGCATGGGCGTAGAATAAGTGGAGGGACGCACTTTTAATAAAACGTAAATTCATCTCATGCAGAGGTGTTCACGGGCCAATGTGAATAATTCTAGATTTAAATTCCGGAAGACAGGATATTCTGCATGACCTAACATTTTATTATTATCCAAAACAAGGCGGCATGAGCATTATGCAGTGCTAAACACTCTCGTTTAATGTATGTTTCGTTCATACTCGAAGCCGGAGGGCGCAAACAAATGACTGGTTATTGTTCAGCAGTGTATTTGATTTCACGGCCCATTAAAAGCAAGAGATAAGAAAAAGAAATAACTGGTGTTACACCGTGTCTACACCGGACGCGAGTGGTGCGATGCGACAAAAGACAATATAACCCATTATAATCAGTGATGCTGTCTACAGTGGATATGGCTCGACGCGTCATGACCTATCCCGACAGTAAACTGATGCCTCGTTCTAGTTCTGATGTACTCCAAGCATTCGCGATACTTCTCATACGAAGGACAAATGGATTTGCAATGTCGCTTTGTCGCGTGCTAGACTTGACATTTGTGATCCCCTCACTTCTGAAAGTTCAGGGGGATTGGGACACTTTTTGCCATTGATATTACTTGGGGAAAGTGTCCCAATCAACCTGAATTCACCCCTATGTAACATAAACACTGTAATGTAAAGTCGGTCCATTAAACTCACGCTTCACTCTGTCCCTGTCACAGGTCTTTCTTCTATAGAGCTATATATCCTTATTAACAAACTCAGAGGATGTTTCCATTTTAAACTGGAGAACTTCACCTCTTAAGAAGACATGGGACTTGGACAGTCTAGCAGGACATCCGTCAGTGATGACCCAGCGGAGGGTAAGTGTGTTCTTGGACACAAAACAAGTTGTTCCAGTTCCTGTAGTTGGACAGAGGACTCGAATTCTAATACACTAATTAATCTATGAGCTCGTTATTCATTTAACAATCTTTTCTATGTATTCACACAAATGTACAAGTGTTAGGATGTTAGTATTTAAATATACTGTAGGTGAATAATTTAGTTAAAAATGACGTGTCATTTTTTTATGTTAAAATAGTTTTTATAAATAAGCAATTAATAGGTTTATTCCTCTAAATTGTTTCTATCAGAACATTTGTTTGAGCATCCCAACCAATCCGACACAGCAACACTATATCAGCCAATGGGGTGAGTTTAAGGCAGGACTATCTTTTTGACCAGCCAATGGCAGACAGAGGGTGTTCAGGAGACTTAATATGCCAAAAATGAAATCCTGTCTCCAATTTTCACCCCATTGTGGTTTCAAAACAGTATGAACTCTATGGAGAACAAACAGAGAAACCTGAGCTGCTCTTTTCCATGCAATGATTGTATACAGTGACCTGGAGGGACTGTCAACCTCTAAAAAGAACAAAAAGCACAGTAACACTTTATTTTAAAGTGACAATTCGCAATACATGTACTCACTATAGTAATAACAGTAAATTCTGCATAATCACAAGCAACAAACCCTAACCCTAAACTCTAACTCTATTGCAAGTTCATGTAATTAATTCATATTACTCAGGACTCATTTGTCTAATCACCCTTAAAAAAGGTGTAACCAAAAACCCCATAAAAGTATGGTAAAAGTGGTGTATGATTGTATACACCACATTGTTTTTTGTCACAAGAGCTTTTTGTGTGAAGTAGAGAATAATTTGTAAGTTGTTATTTGCTTATTTAGTTGTTATTCAACATCCCCTCTGGTGCTGTTTGTACATGAAGTACTGTAGCTAAAATTAATAATCCTGGCAAAACAATCAATGTCAATCTTCTGTTGAGATCTCAGTTTAAGATTGCTCACTTTAGAACAGAATTCCTCCTGAGTAAACCCATTCAACAGGATCCGAAGCTGCTGAGTGCAGAAAGTCATTTATTGAGGTTCTCATAAATCTGTTTGTGCAGGTGGGTCTAAAATTTACAACCTAGATTCCAATACACCTGTGTGTAAACGAGTCAAAGGAAGAGATGGGCCATCACAAGCACAGTTATAGCAATAGCCGATTGGCCCATTTTACAAGGTAATCATGTACGTGGGTAAACAGCAGTGCGCACAATGACTCAGTAAAGCAAACAACTATTAAACAACATTTTACATTCCTTGAAGAAAATTGGAGTGGTGCTAGTCAATGAGAAAATAACCGACACAATGTGAGAGTGTTGTGGGTGTAAAAAGAGCCTCCCCCAAAGTTTCTATGGCTTTACAACCTGATGATATTCACATTGTTTACTGCATAACACAAGCTGACTGGTTCATGTCGCAACTCTAGCCGATGAGCTTGCTTGCTCAACATTTAAATGTCTGGTTAGCATTCTCTATAGCAGTTTTCTGCATGTTTCCAGAGATAAGTGAACGTCTTTTACGCCTTATCGCGGTGCGTTATATAAGCAGCAGCAAGTGGTTTATGTACGGTAGTCGATGTGAGAATACACCTTCGAAGCATTGCGGATTTAAGAACAGTTTAAGGGAATTAGGTATTCGCACACGTACACTTTCATCATTTTCGCTCTAAAAACCTCCAACGACACTTTCAATGTTTTCTAAGGACATTGTTTCATTTCTACGTTGAGTGTGTGCGGGCTGATTTCCGATGCTGTCCAATGGCAGACCTACGCTTCATAATTCGCCAGATCACCTTTGTTTGAATGGTAGCTACAATACAAACCAATACAATTTCGGAGCAGCTTTGCAGTGGTAAACGGGCTAATGATGATTAGTGATACAACAAGATTCATTTTAGCTTTAAAGCAAGAAAAAGTCAAAGTCAAAGTCAATGACACTGCCGTAGTTCATTGTTAATAAGGTTTGGGTTCAGTGATGTGTAAAGTTCATTAATTATGAAATTAGTTCAAGTCACCTATAAAGTAGGTTTTTTTTAAAAAAAAAGTCCTGTTTTGATGCATAGTGTGAATGAATTAGCATGTTAGCAGCTAGCGAATATGCAATTTCTGTTTATACATTGGCAGCAGTTGTCATGCTGTGGGGATACAGTGACAAAGGATTGCGCCGGTATATGAACTTGTTAAAGTTGAAAGTTACATCAGTTTTGAACACTTTGTGCAGCATTAGCAGCAGCATGCATAGCAAATTCAGATTATTGCTGTGTTAGGGAATATTAACAACAGCAGAATGCATAATAAATTCAAATTATACTGTTTGCAAGTTGTTGAGATTTCAGTAACAAAGCATGGCTTTTTTACTTTTTTGTTAAAGTAAAATAGGCATTTGATTTTTAATGTTTTTGCTTATTCAACATTTATACTGCAGCGGGGGCAGTTGTGGCCTAATGGTTAGAGAGTCAGACTTGTAACCCGAAGGTCGCAGGTTCGATACTTATTACCGGCAGGAAACGAGTGAGGTGCCCTTGAACAAGACACCTAACCCCCAATCGCTTTCCGGGCGCCGCAGTGAATGGCTGACACTGCTCCGGGTGTGCGTGTCCACGGTTTGCAGTGAAGCAAGCAGTCAATGTAGTTGCGTGAGCACAGGCGTAACTATCGGTAAGCAGGGTACGCGGTTGCTTACGGGCCCGGACCAATCAGGGGCCCGCGCGTGACTGGAAGATATTGATTGACAGCCGGGCCCCCAAACGCATTTTACTACTTTTAGTCTGATCGCATTTTACTTTATCGCAAATTTATTTGAATAAATAATGGCAACAACATAGTGTTCTGATCATTAGATACAAGTATGAAAAGACCAATGATGGATTTTGGTGTAATTTGTTTCGAATTGGGACTGGGGAATCCCCGGGTTGGTAAGTGAACATGCGTATTGCGTGCAAAACAGTAAAAACGATGAACTTGAGACAGACAATATCGACAGGCTACTCCTGATTTTGTCAGTCATCTCATCTCTTATATGCTGTGTCTCTATGATCATATTAGGCGCTTTCCGACCAAGTAGTTACAGGAACTTAGTTATAGAAACTGTCCACTTCTAAACAGTTCTAAGAACTACTCTCCCCCAAACTCGGTTTTGCTGTTTGCGTTCGCACTGGCCAAGTGGCCATAGGAACTGGTAGGAGGGGTAAGGGAGTGACGCAAGCACGGCGGCGGCGGCGGCGCCACATACAACAACAACAAACCAGCATGGAGGAGGCTATCGGAATGTTCCTGTTCTGCCTTGCCGGGAGCTTAATAACGAGTACGAACGGCGGCGTTTAAAGACTATGCTTGAGTTCTGTACAGAGAAACAAAGAAGACGAAGGCTCCAGCATAATATGATCTTAAGTAATATAATGGAAGAAGATAGAAGAGCAGAGCGCAGGAGACAAACAAAACGACGGGTAAGTTTAGCAAGCATAGCAATTAGCTGGTTGAATGCGTTATGTTATGAGTTAGCATAGCATACATAGGCGAATTGCAACAGACAGTGAATAAAATGTGTTGACACTGGGCGTGACTTATAAGTTGAACCAATCAACGTAGACCTAGGGAAAGGGAACTAAAAGAGCTCGCTCTAGACTAGGTACTGAAAGAGTTATAGGAACTACGGTCTGAGGAACTAAAAAAATCCCCAACTTAGTCCGGTCGGAACACGCGAAAAAAAAGGTTATAGGAACGTTAGGTTCTAGGAACAGCCAGGGGCGTAATTTGTGGGGGGGATGGGGGGGATATAACCCCCCCAATATTTAAATCTATGCATTACGACCCCCCCCCCATTATTTATACCATGATCACAATATCAGGAGGCATACCCAAACTTCAACCCCCCCAATGTTCAAACCAAATCTACGCCCTTGGGAACAGCAAAAGTCCCTCCGGTCGGAAAGCGGCTATTGTCCTATTCATGGTAGCCTACTCGTGGACATTGCGTCATCACGTGCTGTAGGGGGGCCCGCCTTGATAATCCTGCATAAGGGCCCGGTGTTGGCTCGTTACGCCACTGTGCGTGAGGGTACAGCGAAAAAGCATTTCTGGTAGTGAATACGTTACAACGTGTCTGCACCGGGGTGCCGTGCTGTAACAGCTAGAAAGCTACTGTGCAAGTCCATTTGGACATCCTTTGTATAAGAAGCACTTGAAGTACATCAGAAATAGAACGGGACATTAGAAATACCATCAGGAATTTGTCATGTCTATTATATATTCCCTGGTTTTGTATTTCTTGTGTTTTTGTTATGTGGTCTTTTAGGGCGCTTTAACACTTGCCTCCTTCAGTTCATTTGAATCGCACTAGAGTTTGTTGTCCCCCTTGGTGCGGTTCGTTTGGGCAGGTGTGAATGCAGCAATCGCACTCGGGAGCACACTAAAAGCGGACCAAACAAGCGTACCGAGACCTCCATGAAGAGGTGGTCTCGTTACGCTTTCAAACGAACTCTGGAGCGCTTCGTTTGTGGTGGGAATGTTATCCGACCTCGAACAGACCCAACTGCCTAAAGAGCTGCGCATTTTCGTAAGACTTCGCCGTCTGCAGTGCATTTTCCAGCCGCATCCGTGCTTCATTCTCGAAGTGTATAGTTTGCCTAAAGTGGTGTATACAAACTATGTAGTATATGATGAGCAGAGATATAATCAGCCGCGCAATCGTCTCTCCATAGTATGACTTACAAAAGCGGCGTGTTGTCTGCTGGCTTTTCCTCCTCTCTTTGTTTACTTCCGGGAGTTCCGTTGGAATTTGCCTGCAAATTAATTCTGACCAATCAAAGAGCAGTTTAGAAAATACGTTCAGAGACACAACTGGCCAACGAGTGATGTGGATGTGGTCACTGGTCACGTGACTGCATTTTGGTTTGTTTCACCAACTCGTCAACTGATTCGGACCAGAGCAATCAGTTTGGTGTGAAAATGAACCAAAACAGCTGAAAAATGC